GATATAACATTATTAATAATAAAATACACATTTAAAAAAGTATTGATGTTTAGTAGTGCGTTTTCACAAGCTTAGAATATTCATCTATGATACATAGCCTGTTTTGACAGCTAAACCAAGTAGAGTTTATTCTTTGTAAATGCAGCTATAATAATGAGTCAAACACACACACACACACACACACACACACACACACACAAACACATTAACACAGCAGGCTCAGTGACTATTATTGCTGCACCTTGGGGGCTCCACTTGATTGACATGTTAGTTACCATGGTGACATTTGTCTGACAATGATCGAGTGGCACCATTGAGAACTGAACTTTTCACCCATATGTATTTTTTGTTTGTATAACAATGATAAAATGAAAGGCATTTAACTCTTTTGAGGGCAGTGTGTGAGTGTTATAAATTTCAGGTTCATTAATTTTGAAACAGGGATTCTGGAGGTTCAAACGGAGGACAGGTTTTGAAGATTTATCAGGGGGTTTCTACAGGAAATAAATCAAGACTTCACAGCTGTGTGTCTGAGATGGTGGGAGGTGAGATGTGTGTATGCAATGCAGTTGTGTCTGTGTTTGTGTCTGAATTTTACGCAGATGCTCATGAGTGCGAGTATCGTCATTTTTATGAAGGAACAGTTCATAAAAATGATGATTCTGCCATTATTTACTCACCCCTCATGTCATTCCACACCAATACTGATGTTTTTTCAATTAAAGTTCATTATAGTTCATTATGCTTTCAAGTCCCTTCCCCAAAACAATTAAAAATAATTATTAAAATAATATATTAATATTTAAATATTCAATAAAAGTCGATTACATTTTAGTGCATTGAGACTTTTTTTTTTTGTCAAATCTAAGGGAATTTTTTTTAAAATTTAAGTCTATTTTAATAAGAAAACATTCAGAAAAATACATATATTCATATTAAAAAATATAGTGTAAGAGTTTGAAACAACATGAGGGTGATTAAATAAAATTTCTATTACAGGCCAAATGTCTCACACACTTAATCAATCAGTTCACTCAAACTAAAAGAAAATAATGGCAAGACTGAAAGTTATAAGTGCAAAATATTTTCTTCAAAACACACACAATGTTATGAGACACAGATAAAGATAATTCAGTAGATGAGTGAGTACCTGTATCACAGTTAGTACTAGCAGTGGGTGTTACTGGACTAATGGAAAAAGGCAACAAACCAAGTCCAGCACCTGAGAAACACACAGGGGCAGGTTCACAAACTCACAAGTCGATAACAAACTCTTTTGGTTGAAGTTGCTCGTAAAGCTTCCAGCACGCAGTGCAAACGCAAGAGCCCCAAACCAATGCGAACACACACAAACCTGCGCCCTCAAGCGCCCTCATGCGTAAAAAGATGCACAGACCCACCGCTTACACAAAAAATACATACCAGTTGGTTGGAAGCAAATATAGCACATAGCCAGCAAAGGTTGAGGTTTTCCTCAAAATCACCTCTGAATCCCTCTAGCATGCCATGCCAATGTAATCAAGACCACTGGCTCTTATCTAAGGGTTTATTAAAAACAGATTCATGCACCATTTTCCAATATGCTTTCCTTGGTTTATAAGTAATGCAAAAATACATATACTACTATTCAAAAGTTTGGGGTCAGTAATTTTTTTTAAAGAAATTAATACTTTTATTCAGCAAGGATGCATTAAATTGATCAAAAGTAAAGCAAGTCATAATGTTACAAAAGAGATTTCTATTAAAAAAAAATGCTGTTTTCAACTTTCTATTAATCAAAGAATCCTGAAAAAAAATGCATCATGATTTCAACAAAAATATTAAGAAGAACAATGGTTTTCAACACTGATATAAATGTTTCTTGAGCAGCAGATCAGCATATTAGAATGATTTCTGAAGGATCATGTGACACTAAAGACTGGAGTAATGATGCCGAACATTCAGTTTTGCATAACAGGACTAAATTACATTTTCCATTATATTAAAATTCGTTTTAAACCGATATTCTCAAATGTAACAATATTTCACAATATTGCTGTTTTACTGTATTTTTGATCAAATAAATGCAGCCTTGGTGAAAATAAGAGACTTCTTTCGAAAACTTTTGCTGGCCCCAAATTTTGAACAGCAAGATGTATATAAATATAAAAATGCATTTTAAAAAAATTTATAAAATGCTTTTGTTATTATTAGTGATAGACCAATATATTGATCTACTTAGGATTACGCTTTTATAAAATGCAACCCAAGACAATAAACGCTCAAATATTTGGTTGATATTTGTTTTTGTGCATTTCAATTAAATATTGTGCAAAATATAGGGATCTCAAACCTTTTAACCTATTAATTCCCATGACTTTTCAATTATTTTTCTAGTTATTGTTAAAGACAACTGGATAAGGATTAAAAAAAATAATTTAATAACGAATTCACTCACAAAATTCCAAGCCTATTAAATATTTTAGAGCTAAACACAAGCAGAATTTCATATTGACGAATATATCATATACTGTATATCAACGAAAATGAATAAAATGTATTATGTTTCTGTAACTTGTTTTTAGATTTGATCAATGTACATTACTTTTTTAGGCTTAGATATCACATTATTTTAAAATTCCTTGACATTACAAAAATATGAGAACCCAGATTTAGCATAAATATCATTTGAAGTCATTAAGCTGATCAAAAACTGAAACATGGGCCACTGAAAAACCCATATTGGTAACTCAAACAAGTCATTACTGTACATACTGATTCTGATTGCATTCATCAGAACCTGTTTATACTGTGCATAAAGCACCAAGCTTTGACAAGAGGTATTTAAAAACCACAAACACCAATCCCATAGCACAAAATCCAGCTTGAGCCACAAAAGACAAAGATTAAGTTAAGAATGTATAGAGATGAGTACCATATAGCAATCTGGCTTTCATTAGTATTCATCACAAAAACCCTGTAAGCACTTTGTTTTGTGCTGAAATATATAAACTTCTTCCTAGATCATGGCGTGTATACTCATTATATTATAGAGAGAATTGAAAACAAGGAAAAGCACATGAAATTGAAACTGAAAGAAAAGAATGAAAGAGGCCCATGAGATGTGTACAGCAGCGCTCATTTTTCCCCCCGGGACAACAGGGAGCATCTAACCACAACGCAACCAGCAGCTAGTAAAGCCCAGCACTGCTTCTCCATCATGCTGTTCCAAACAGCCCCCAGCATTCCCAGAAAGCACAGCCAGCCCCAGAAACTCTTACTTACATGTCTTACAGCAACCGTCCACATATGTTTGAACTATGCCTCCATTCTGAAACACAAAGCACAGAGCTTAGAACAACTACACAAACTCTTACAGAAAAGCTATAAGCATTGTGCAATGATTTTAGTCAGACCTGAATACATTCTGTGTCATTGAAAGGAGGACAGACCACTCCAGAAGCCAGAACTACTGCGCCTACCGCAGTCTCCATACAGTCAAAGCGTGTGCAGTTAGCCACCCATGAACTTCCTGCCTGCAAACCACATCAAAATACACTATCAGGTTAATGCATGTGAGGCTCAGGCTTTTTGGATTTCATAAACACTATGATGTGGTTTTGTGTGTGTTTTTGACCTACAGTAGCAATAATTTGTGGATAAATTTACTAAAAAATGCCCCCATAAAATCTGACAAAATGTCAATTTGTGCACATCCTCAAAGGGGAAAATGTTCACAAATACAATGAATAATGTTTTTACCTTTTTTCTCTCTCAAAAATGCAGAAAGTTTCTTTCAAGGGTAAGTTTAGGATTACATTAACACTATACAGCATACTGGATCATATTTAATGTGCCAATTTCTATGGACTCTAAATTATCAGCATGATCAAAATCTGTACTTTTTTAGCAAGTAAAAGGACCTTTTGTATATTTGTAAAAACATCTCCCTTAAGGCTGTGGTTCAAGTGTCTTTTTGCTTTGAAATATTTACTTATTGTTATAAATTTAGCACAAGAATAACTTTTAGATCGTTAGGTTCATCATTTTTCAGAGAAATCATGTTTAAATGTATCAAAAATTACATATCTAAGGAATATTTAAGGAATGTTTATTTGTATATCTGTCAATTACATTTTCATTTAGTCATTTAGCAGACGCTTTTATCCAAAGCGACTTACAAATGAGGACAATGGAAGCAATCAAAATCAACAAAAGAGCAATGATATGCAAGTGCTATGACAAGTCTCAGTTAGCTTAATGCAGTACACGTAGCAAGGTTTTTAATTATTATATAATAAATAAAAAGAAAGCTAGTGTTAGAGGCCTTTTTTGCTTTTGTTAATTGTATAATAAATAAAAAGAAAACAAACATAGAATACAAAAAGATTAGAAAAGCTAGTGTTAGTTTTTTTAAGAAAACAAGCAGTAAATGAATAGAGTGCAAGTCTAAAAGGGATCTTTTTTTTCAATTATCTTTGCATATGATATGATCATAAAACTAAGCATTTAAATATTATCTTACTTATTGGAAGATATAGAGTGACAAGTAAAATTTATATGTAATTCATGTCTGCTATACTGTTATAAAGATCTCAATGATTCACATTACAAGCATCAGAATTTCATCTAACGTTTTGGTCATATAAATATCAGCAACTGCACCAAATTGCATAATTTTGCTCCTGAATAATATTGAGGTGTTTTTCCTTCTCGAGAATGAGCTTCATATTCTCTTATATCATATTATATGAGCCATAAAAGCCTGAAGTATCAAATGTCACATACTCAACAAAAACACATATGCATATAGATTTAAAAAATATTTTGTCTAAAGGTTCAATAAACTCTTCCATTTCAAAATTTTTTATTTTTCTGACTATAATTTTATGTCAGGCTTTACAAGGTTAACAAAAAGTACCAGATGGTGAGTGCAGATTACCATAAATACTTCTGTAGTCCCGTTTTCACTGGGATATGAGCATGAGATGTTTTTGCAGGAGCCACAGCACACATGTGGATCAGATGATGGGACATAAACCTGATGCTACAGTAACAGAAATATAAAACAAAATATTTCAAAAATTTGTTTTAAATATAAATGCAAAAAATACATAAATAAACTCATAACACACAATACAAGAAAATCCCATAATGTTGAGATAATCCAATGTAAATATAATACAGTATTGTCCAAAATAGGATATATATATGTGTGTGTGTGTGTGTGTGTGTGTGTGTGTGCGAGTATAATTAAATACTAAAAAAAACAATATTTTATTATTAATTATAATTTAATACAAACATGAATGTATTGTCAGCATAGAGATGAGAATGTCAGCTGTAGTATTCAAGTATTTATAATATATTATTACCACACATGTAGCTGTAGCAGCAAGCTTGTGCCCCTCTGACCTCCACCAGGAATTGATCTTCTCTGCAGATAGGGGCAGGAACACTCTGACATGCCAGCAGATCACATTCTAACAGAGACCAATCAGAAGTCTGACCTTTGTCCACTGACCAAATAAACAGCCAATCAGAGTAAGGATTACATGAGCTCTTACCACATCTGTATTCAGGACAGCAGGACAGAGTGCTGTAACCAATCACCAGCTTGTCTCCATTCTCACAGCTGGGCACTTCACTCTGACAGATGGTGAGGTTACATTCTACACACAAAGACACAAGCATTAGTCACGCATATTTTCTTGGAAATACTGTACATTTTTAATGTGCATATCTGATATGTTTCATTATTTATTTGGATGTTTTGTGCCATATTAGCATCTAAGGCTATTTTCATGTCAAGAACAAAAACAGGTAAATACAATTAATAAACATATTTATACAGAGAATGGGGACAAACAAACAGGATAAATAATTGTCATGCAGAAAGATAAAATCTAAATGTTTTGCATGTATCTAATTAAGATTTCTGTCAACTTTATTGTTTTTGAAAGAAGTCTCTTATGCTCACCAAGATTGCATTTATTTAATACAATAAAAACATTGTGAAATATTACTGCATTTTAAAATAACTGTTTTCTATTGTAATATATTTTAAAATGTAATTTCTCCAGTATTCAGTGTCACATGATCCTTCAGAAATCATTCTAATATGCTGATTTGCTGCTTAAGAAACATTTCCGATTATTATCAATGTTGAAAACAGTTGTGCTGATTTTTTTTTTTGTCGAAACTGTGATACATTTATTCTCTTCACTGTCAGTTTAGAGTAATTTAATGCACAACTGCAGAGTAAAAGTACAAATTTCTTTCTTTCTTTCAAAAAAAGAAAAGACCCCAAACTTTTGAACTGTAGTACATATTGTATGTGAGATTAGCATTAGTGATTAGAGCTTTCCAGCTCATAGTATATATATAAAAAATAAAATAAAATAGTACATCAAATGTGCCAGGATGGTATACTATTTCTGATGGATTTGTGAATTATACATCCATGTGTTTTTTTTTTACCACAGATCTTCTTAGGACAGCAGACTCCTTCCTCCAGCACATCGACTGCATACTCTCCCTCCCTCTCACACAGCGGAGCAGGTTCATAACTGCAGTCGGGTTCTACAGGAACCACACTACCATTCTCCAGACACTTGAACAGACAGCAGCCACGCAGAGAGCCGTTCCACACCTCACCCGGGGCGCGTGGAGCACCATCGTTACCCGTACACACTGATCACATGGAAATAACAGGCCATTATCACAACAGCACTTTATTTTTCATGCGAGCAAACACATAGTGCGGCATTCTCACCGCACTGGTCCTCGGTGACACAGAAGGCAGAGTCTGCTCGGTGCAGGATGGTACCGCTTTTACAAACGCACTCCTCTCTGATAGAAGAACAGATGCTTTCCTCATAGTAATCTCGGTTTTGACAAGTCCGAGTCTTACATGTATTCACACAGGGTTTATATTCTTTACCAGGAGGACATTTGAGTGCTGCATGTACAAACACATACAAATATGCAAAAGTGAAAAAAATATGCTACCAGTCAAAAATTAAGCATTTAAGCAAAAACCTTGCAAAAAATGCATCCAAACAGTATCTGTAAACACACTCACGGCAGAAGTTGCTTTTCCTCCAGCTGAAACAGATCTGATGCGTGTAACAAATGGCCACATAAGCAGCCAGGAAGTCACACTCATGCTCTTTATAATGTAGGTCACCAGCCCATATCTTATCACAGAAGTGTTCTGGAGAAACCTTCAAAACAACATTTGGAAAAAATAATCCAATATAAAATGGTCAAGTCACATGTAGGGCAAGTATGAACGTTCACAAATTAAACACAAAATGTCAAATTAAAGTAAAAATCTGTGTTGTTTTAGTACTATTTATATACTATTATAGTATTTATTAATATTATGAATTAGCCTTTATTTTATATTTCATTTTAATTTGTTAGCTTTAGTACTTTTGTTATGGGCTTTTGTTACTATTTTTCTATTTTGCTTTGATTTATTTTTATTTTAGTAAGTTTAGTACTTCAACTTTTTAAACTTCAAACTTGTATTTACTTTTATTTAGGTTTATTAGCTTTTATTTCAGGTGTCAATGCAACATTTCAATTTTTTAAGATTTTTTTATAAGTTTTTAATGTAATATTTATATTTAATTTATTTCAGCTTTATTTGAATTATTATAACTGATTTGTAATAGTTTAAGTTTTAGTCAGCAATAACAACAAAATGGAAAATGGGAGGACAAAGTGTAAAATATAAGAGTTAATACAGTATATGGGCCAAATTATGTATATCGAAAATGTAATGATTATTTAATTATTTAAAATGTGAACAAGCTAAATAAGATTTTATAGCTAACGTTGATCAATAGTATTTACAAATTACTTATTAAAAGCAATGGATGTAAATAGGACGCCTGCACATGAATATATATTCAAGCTTGTGTGTAGTACCTTGTGGTGACATTTAGAGAAAGGTCTCTGGTTGAGCATGGTGAAACATTTGGAGCAGTTGCCGGTGGTGCAGTTGTCTCCCACTCTGCGGAAGTAATCTGTATCCTCTGACGTATCCACCATCCATCCGTGCAGAAATACTGGGATGTCCTCAATATCCCGGACCACTGTACCATTGGGCAGCCGCAGGTCATCCGCTGGATTACCATCACAACATCCTGAGAAAGAAAACAAAATACACTGGTAACAAAATACATCAAACACACTTACATGACCACAAATGTTAAATTATTAAAAGCAACATGAAAAAACACATTTAGCTTCTAGAATGTGACACATTTCAGAATGAAACTAAACAAATATATAAATAAATAAATATTCATGCAGAGTGGGACATTTTGTATATGGGTTTGGAGATATTGTGAAAAGTAGGATATTATATTATTATTGTTTACATATATGTTTCCCCACCCATGAAACCTGATTACATCAGCAGAAAAGTTTACATTTTGATGAAAGATTATAAAAGCATTTTTCTTCTTTAGCACAAACATGCATTGATAATTTGTGCACAATAAGATCACAGATACTGATTAAGAAAGTAAACAGGGACATATTTGATTTCATGGTCACAGTTGTCTACAAAGCGCAAGTACAACACACTGACCACAGAGCCCCCTAGTGGAGGTGTTATCAGGAGCCGTGTACTGTAGGACCATGATGCCAGTGCTGTGGTACCACTTTATATTGATTCCACCAGGTGTATTAATGATGTACATGGTCCCGGTGTCATCAATATGGAGGTTCTGCCTTGTAAGAGGAAGCCGTGCCGTAATCTGATTCACCGAAACCTGTGTCAGATCAAACCATTGTTACTCGACAACATAAATCACTTTTATGAGCGACGATTAAGCGGAGACACAAGATGCATGAATTATGATACAATTCTGACTTTTAAATAAATGAGAATTTCTTTTGCCTGGTTAACAAATTTCAATTGCCATTTTCTTGGATTTTACTCAGTTTACTCAAAAACAAACAATTTGATATTATTTAATGGCTGCTGAAATAATAGCTACTAAAAATACAGCTTTGCGTTTTGTTGTGTTAAGAACAACATGACTTCATGACTAAACAGGTAAAATTTTGCCAGCATTACCTTCCGGTCCAAGCGGTTGACCATAATTCTATACGATTGAGTTGTAATGTTCAGCTTCTTAAAACACAGACCAGAGGTTCCACCAGAGGGAGTCTAACAGGAAGAGAGAAGCTAAATGAGCTTGTGATCCTCATTAGGATGATTATAATACAGTAGATAACGTTTTAACACACTTACAGGTCTTCTGATGTAGTTCACACTCTGGAAGCAAAAGTCAAGCATTCAATAAAATGTGAAAAGCATATATAGAAGACAGTATATTTCTTCATGGTAAAGTGATAGCATGGGTTTACCTCACTGGTTGGACATTTCTCAATGTGACCGACTATTTTCTCTCTGGGCAGGTGGACCAGAATATAAGAACCAATATCATACAGAGCCACATTATTCCCATCAAACGTGATCACACGCAGGTCAGAGATTATAGAGCAGCGACCTGACAGTACACACAAACATTAAAAGCCAATAACATGATAAAGTGTTTCTGATAAACACTTTAACTTAATCAGTGTTGTTACTGTTAACTAAAACTATTAAAATTTGTTTTCATTAACTAAAATAGCATATAAATGTTAGATGAAAAAATTAAGGCCTGTTCACACTAAGAACAACAACAATAAAGATAACTTTATTAGAGTCAACACCAATGCACAATCATGTTCTGTTTATTATAAGCGTGCGCAGCAGTTTTTTCATCAGCCACTTTAAATGCTCGAGCTCTTTAAAGTAGGATGGAGACTGATTGGCTGTCAAAGTATTTAGTGTTCATCAGCTGGGAAAAAAAATCATTTTGAAAGTGATTCCAATGATAATTTCTGCGTTATTACCATTGTAGTTGTGGATATTCTTATCAATTTAGAATGATTTTTTAAATGATATATTAAGTGTTATTGTTATAGTTATTAGTTATCGTGTGAACAGACCTTTAAACTAAAAAAAAAACTTAAGGGAAAATAAGTAATGTTGCCTTTGCAACTAACTGAAATAAGTCGAAAATAAATCAAATCTATATACTGTAGAAACATAAAAAAAACGAAAACATAAAAAACTAAATGACTAAAAATAACTTAAAATGAAAAAGTAAAATACAATAGTATATAACTACTACTAAAAAACCACAGATATAACCACCTCCCATCTAGAGCAAATCTGAATGGTCATGTGTGTATGTCTTACATGGGCACTGCCACAGTGGGCAGCAGGGGTCTGTGTTGGTCTGGATCGGTGTGCCCAGCAGGTTGCACTGTGGCTGGCTGATGTTGTATCTGCAGTGCTGAGAGGAATTATGCAGCATCAGCTGTCCATTAAAGCAGATGTACTCACTGCACTCATCCACACGTAATGAATAAGGAGGCTGTATGGATACAAAACAGAGACGCCCATGAGACAGACAGCACATAAACCCTTCCACCACCAAAAACGATATAAGGCACCTTGGGATGATTTCAGGCAGTACGCATTGATCAGTTATCTTTTCTGATGCCTGTTCTTGTGTTATATTATGACAGATTCATCAATTATTCACTGTACCGCATCTTAACTCATGATTCTTCCCTCAGGGCATCAACATCTTGGCAAGTTGACAGGAATGACTCAAGAACAAGGAGTTAAGACTGGAAGTAGTGTTCATCCTATGTGGATAACCGACTAATCTTGATTAATCTGATATTTATGAGCATGTGTGTGTAAATGTGTCAGAGAGGTATCCAGGTCAGGGAGGGAAATGGGAGATATCAACTCTCACTTAGTACTGTTGAATCCATCACTGATATCTCAGGGAAGATGAATCAAAACATATCACTGGCAAAACATTTTTCTTAGAACACTCAGACATACTAGGAATGAGACTTTAACAATTCTCTGATTCTTAATCTTTACCTGCAAGTTTTAAAGTTGTATTTATTCAGTGAACTCTTACCGTGCAAGGCCCTGTGGGTAGAAGGAACGGAGGAAGCACTGTTGTTATTCCTGTTGTCTCCGGTGAAGGGGAGGGTGAAGGCAATATCTCAGAGGTTGTTGGTACGGCTGCTGTGGTAGTTGAGAGCTCCTCGGTTGTTGTGGAGACAGATCTTGTCTCAGTGGTGAAGGTTGTTAAAGTCGGTTCTGACGTTGTGGTCTCGGTTGTAATGACAGTGGTGGTTGTAACAGGCAGGACGGTGGTTGTTGGAGACGTTGTCTCTGGTTCGGTGGTGGCCTCGGGTGTGGTTGGCATCTCTGTGGTCGAGGTAGATAATAAAGTGGTTAAAACTGTTGTTATGGGCTCTGTAGTGGGCGTGGCTGTGGTGGTGGGTGGGGCAGTGCTGACTAGAGGGGGTTCTGTGGTTGGTGGAGAGGGAGTTGTGGGAGTTTCAGTGGAGGTGGTGGCAGCCAAAGTTGAAGAGACTGTGGTTGGTGGTAATGTGGGTGTAGTTGGGCTGGCAATTAAATCATCTGTTTCCAAAGGTGTAGTTATGATTGTAGTACTGGCAGTTGTGCTCGGAGAGGTGCTTGGTGTTGCCGTTGTGGTGGAGGGAGCTGTTGTGGTTGTGGGAGCAGAGGCTGGAGTCGCCGTGGTTCTGTTTGATCGGGTCACGAACATGTAAGGAGTCGGAGTTGGAGACAGTATCACACCTGCAAGCGCATCAGAAACAACACAGGTGCTAAGACAAATCTAACAGTGTGCATACATGTTTATAAAAGAGAGGATGAAGATGAAAGTGATGCAAATTATGATTTCACACGTACAGTCTTCTTTGTAAACACACCGCCTGGTCACTTCGTCCAACAGCATAGACTTGGGACAACGTGGAAAACAACCTTCAACTCTAAACCAGATCAGACAGTGAAAGACAACAGATTTGGATTTTTACTTTGTCTAAAGAAATTGTACAGGTGAATCTCATAACAATACGTCTAGGTCATATTTTCCTCCTAATATTGGATTTCGATAAAGAACATGTAGCCTTTTTTCATTAACGAAATCTGGGAGTGTTGATTTTAATTAAATTCAGTAACCATGATTCATGTTGTGACTTCAAAAGTTTCAAGAACTGTACTGTAGTGTAATATTTTTTTGTCATCTTGAGGCCCCGTCCCCTAGTCCTAAAGACTTCCTTTTCATAAATATCTTCCTTTTGACTTTGTAGTAAAACATGACAATGCATAATACCTGCCTTACCAAGCACCTTTTGTATAACTGTCACATATATTATTGTATTGGCATATGCACATGATCTTACGGAGGTAAAAACTGGCAGCGTGTGGCATCGGGGTCGTTGCATGTTTTCACACATGGGCTGGCACATGCATGATACTTCCACTCGCACATCAAGCGGTAGGGGATCACAAAACTGCTCTCTAAAATGCAGGAACACAGCCATCACAAACATTAGAGACATTAGAGAAAGCACTACAAATGAGGTTGATAAGCTTGTTGTTTTATAGGAGCTTTTTAAGTGTACGTTCGGTGTAATATGAGCTTATATGACGTGCATCATCAGAGCTCCACATTTCCAATATGTGTGCCTGCTCTCTTTAACACACTGCACTATATTTATATCCATTCCACAATCAGTGTAGGTAATATGGGCTTGATGATAAGATAATTTATATTTGCACAGCGTATTTGATATATAGATATTTGCAGACCGGTCTTACCCTCAATGATAAAACTGCTGCTGATTTTGAAGGTGTATGAGTGGTCGTAGTTCTGAACACGTGCATGTGTATGAGAAAGAGTGAGGAAGACACCCTTCTGACTGTGCAACTCAAAGGAAGATCGCCCAGGTAACCACAGACCCTGGTGGTGGATGAAGGTCGCCTTCCGTCTGAACTCTTCCCCAGGCTGCCAGTGTTCCAATCGCAACCCACGGTTCCCAGTAACACACAGAAAGTAGTTGGGCCTCTCTGCAGACTCCAGTGAAGCAACAGGAAGTCCTGAAACAGTGCAAAATAAAAAATGCAACATCAGTAGATGCTACTATTCAGCCTAAAAATAAATGGTAGAGATAAACAATTAATAATTTTGTTTCAGAAGCTGGTCGATTTTCGTTTATTATTATTACTATTATTATTTAAATGATAAATAATATAATAAATCAATAAAGAAATATTACAGTTACTATTGTAATGTAAAATAAAAAAATCGGACATTTAATAATAATAATAATAATTATTCAAAATAATATTTTAATTTTATTATTGCAATTATAAAAATGAAACAAATCAATTAAGAAATACATTATTTTACTGTAAAATACAAAACAATTATTATTATTTATATTATTATTATTATTTCATTTTACAGTACAACAGTAAAATTACAATACTAATATTTAATAATAATATACTAATATTAATTATTTTGCTTTCAAATGTTAAATATAGAGCTTTTATTTTGACAGGAAACCACAGACTTCTCTTTTGCTGACAACAGATTTATAAATGATTCTTGTCAGAAATTTGGGAGCGTGGTTTGTGAGTTGCGTTTTCAAATGCACGTTGTAAGTGACCCAAACTCACAGCTCTTGCAAAGATGGAGTTAGTGTGGAGCAGCATTTAATGCAAACCGATCCACTCCAACAAAATGAAAACACCAGGTCATTGTATTTTGCATGTAAGCATGTGTTTGATTGCACATTAGTTTTAATCTCTTTCTTCTGTGATTTCTTTCACTTATTTGTTTTGCTGTTGATGTGAAGAGTATGTGCTCACTGGAAGCTCGGTCCTTATATAGTCCAGTTGTGATCATGAAGTGGAAAATGGTGCTGGGTTGAGCATTGGTCCTCAGGAGGGGAAACACTTCACCACTGCTCACATTTGCCCCAAACACACATGCAGAGTCATTCTGCTCTGCGCTGGACAGAGTGAACGGACCCTCTCCCAACTCTAAACACGCATGCATAAATAAAAAGGTTAGCGCCAAGATCTTCTGGTGCTTACAGAAGTATTCTAGGCAAATAAACATAATAAATCATTCTTACCTTGGTTGTAATATTCACAGTCATATGCTGTTAAAAGAAGAATACTTATATTAGCCACAATCACATGCGTTATTTCAACATTACCAGCTTAAAAAGCAACATGAAACAGCATTAGCTGCACATTTAACTTTTTTAATGTGACAAATCTGCAACTGAAACAGAATACGTAATCAAAGTATTATTATATAAACAGATCCTGACAGCAAAGAGGAGCAGTTTTGAAAAGTACGAACTGTATGCTGGGTTAGTTTTGCATTAGAAATGTTGGTTTGTCTGTGGGTATTAGGGCCAAATACAAGACATCTTATTTTGTTGTCCTCATCAAATTCAATTTAAATTTTTTTTTTATATAAATAGAAAGCATATTAAATGCAAGTAAAGTGTCTACTTTAATGTTTCAAATAACCTTTGTGAATATAAAATGTCAAAATATGGTTGAAATAATGTTCCATCGTCAATCAGCGTAACAGATACATATTTATGTAAAAATTTAATACCATGTACCTATTAAAATATATCAAAGAAAATGTGATCATACTAAATTTCATTATATTTTAAATGATTAAAAACTTAAGAACTGCTGACAAATGGGTAAAACCTAGTGGTTTGTAGGATATTTGCAAAGATTGGTAAAGATTTAAAATGACAATTTATTAGTTTTGTGGGCTGCACTGTGATTCTGTGAGTCTTTTAATGTCATCTAATGATTCTGGTTCTAAATATGCCTGACAAGATTTCTTGGTATATGAGCTATTGTTACACTGAATGACATTTAAGTGGGTGTCTTCTATAAATCAAGGTAAAAATGTATGACAGCCATTATTTTTTGCTCAGATAAAAATAAAATGAAACAGGACACATTCTAATTTGAAGCTGTATTAAACTTTAATTGTTTTGATGCTTGAAAACCTCTTTTCGTCTTTGACCCATTAACCTCAATGACAGATGGCACAAACGGGTCAAAAGTTCATGTGCTTCCTTATGTGTATGCTTGTACTCACGACACACGGTGGGGGATCTCCAGTTCACTGTGACACCATTTTGACAGCATTTGTGTGCATATGCTGCAATGCTGGTGCACAGACATTCACAGTCACCCCCACGGTTGCAGTTGCAGGTGTCCGTCAGACAGTTCTTATAAAACCAGGTCACATCCACCTTTGGGACCACAAGTATTAGTTACACACAATACATGGATCCCCAAAATCCCAATTAGCCTGTCACACAATTGGTTATGCAACACACACTCAGGACTATTGACTTCCACCTGAATGTGTGAATGGTGGAATGTTCTAGCTTTTCAAACCTTTACAGCCCCCCTAGTGGCCAGTTTGTGAATGGCAAACTATCTCAAAGCTTCTATCAGATGGTTCATCGCAGAGTCAGACAGTGTGTGTGTGTCTTTCTGATGCCGTCTTCCAGCCTGTGTGTGGCTGTGGGTAAGATGTGGCCTTTTTATCTGTAGGGCAAATGTGTTGTTAAACCCCAGAGGAGAGCTGCTCACCACATTGTGGCATGGAGCAAATACGTCACTGTAGAGAAGGCCACACTCCCGCTTAGCATACGGCTGCCGACTGAGATCTCCTTCACACGGTCTGTGAACTACAAAGTCGCTCTCACACTGCACACACATAAACACAAAAGCTGTTTAGTCAATCTAAACTTCTAGTGTAACTCTAATGTACAGTACAGTTTACTATGATTTTACACTAGTAATAAAACTATGGCAGAAACCACAGTTAGCATGAAAAATGTTAAGAATACACCGTTTAAAAATTTGGGGTCAATGAGATTTGTAAAATGTTTTTAAAACAAGGTTTTTATAATCACCAAGGCTGCATTTATTCGTTCAAAAATACAGTAAAAGCTGAAATATAATTTTCTATTTTTAACAATTTTATAGTTTTCTTTTTTCATATATTTTAAAATCTAATTTATTCCTGTGATGCAAAGCTGAATTTTCAGCATCATTACTCCAGTCTTCAGTGTCACATGATCCTTCACAAATCATTCTAATATGCTGATTTGCTGCTCAAGAACTAATATCAGTGCTGAAAACAGTTGTACTGCTGAACTGTTTTTTTGTTTTTTGGACTGTGATACATTTTCCAGTCTCATAGTATCCTGAAGTGTCATACCTGTCCAACAGCCCAGCTGTCTCCAAAGGCCTGTGCGTTACTGACCTCCATATGTCCAGCCGTGGTCATGTCATTAACTGTTACCATGTCAAAGTTTCCACACAAACCACTCATCTGACCCTAAAAACACAGCCAAATACATTATAATAATAAATACGGTTTATAGAGTATTAAATTATACTGCTGATTCAGAGAGAATGACTGACCTTCCACTGGGGTCCAGCACGAATATGGACAGTGGTCTTGCGGTCCCATAAAATGGTCAGATCTTGAGCAGGAAAGTGGACCACAGTGTAGTATCCCGCACCCCATAACTGAAACTCATATCCTCTTCCCACAACAGTAGAAGAGCTCTGGAGGACAAACACAAACCAATTCAAATCAACACAGACTACAGTAAATATAGACTACAAGTTAACATAGAAACAATTATCAGTCTCCTAGTTTATGAAAGGACAAATGTGCCATTAATCAGCTAAAGATGGGATATGTCTTTTACTCACAGGTTTACCAGAGTTGTCACTGAAGTAGATTTTAGTAAGTCCAACATAGATGAGCAGGTACTTCATGCAGACAATGCCACTTTCGTAGCAATCTTTATTTTGAGCCATGATGGACACCTCAGTCTCACCAACACTCTACATTTAGATATGAAAAACAACACCTTTTCTTAAAGACAAAGTGTGTGATTTTTGTGTGACCAGCATCAATCAAACAAAACTGCAAAAAATCTGGGGCCCAGTAAGATTATTTTTTAAAGAAAGTCATATTTTTATTCAGCAAGGATGCATTAAATTAATCAAAAAGGCATTTATAATAAGATATCTATAAAAGAAAAAATTGTTCTTTTGAACTTTCTATTCTGAAAACAAAAATCATGGTTTCCATAAAAATATTAACCAGCACAACTGTTTTCAACATGGATAACAATATGATTTGTTTTTTGGGCAGATAATATTATATTATATTATATTATATTATATTATATTTGCATTGCGTAGGCTGATAGGGAACAGATTGCTCTTTGTTATGTGCGGCTCTTTGCTGAGTTTCTGTGCTGGGACTGACATTAACTCTGGCTCTATTACCACAGCCCTGTTCTAATTAAAAATCCCCTCTGATTTTCCCAAGATTAGTGGCGGTAGAAGCAGATCTCTTTTCCTGCTACTTTATCCGTTCCTACTGAAGTCCGCAACGTGTGAGAGCACACACACGCACACACTCTTTGGCCCTTCGTTAAAAATTCTTTGCTTTAAAGGTGCAACACGTTCAACTGGTGAAACACACTCTTTGTTGAAGGCAAGCTGTTAAGCGCCTCTCCACTTGGTCCTAAGACCAGCACACAAGGCAAACAATCGTCACTGTTTTACAGCACCTGTACACAAAGATATGCTTACTCTTACAGTTAAGCTTACCCACACAAAAAAGCACTATTACCATGGTACATGTCCAGAAACCACTGTGGGTTTTTTAAATGACCGATGGTTATATCTACAGTGGAGGGTGGGCATTATACAGTAATGCTTGTAACCTAAAAAGGGTTTGGGGTGAATACGATTTTTTTCCCCTTGTAAAATACATTATACTTAAGTATTATATGCTTTAAATTGATTAAAAAAACCTACAATAAAGACATTTGTAGAGATTACAAAAGGTTTCTACATCAAACAAATGCTGTTCATTTGAATTTACTACTGACCCCAAACTTTCAAATAAAGTCTCTAATTTCAAAATAAACAAATATTAGATTTATAGTCTGCATTTTGGCTTTTTTTTGTTTTTTTGCTAATGTACCCAAAATCACAAACATGCACACTCAGGAAGTACCTTGACCAGGTAGATTATATTATATTATATTATATTATATTATATTATATTATATTATATTATATTATATTATATTATATTATATTATATTATATTATATTATATTATATTATATTATATTATATTATATTATATTATATTATATTATAATGATTTCTGAAGGATCATGTGACACTGAAGACCAGCGTAATTATTCAGAAAATTCAGCTTTGCATCACAGGAATAAATTACATTTTAAAATATCTTAAAATCGAAAACAGTTCTTTTAAATTGTACAAATATTTCATAATATTACTATTTTTACTGTGTTTTTTATCAAATAAATGCAGCCTTGGTGAGTATAAATGACTTAATCTTTTTAACGGTAATCCCACCCCAGTCTCATCCCATTGGTTGAGCAAGAAGCTGTTATGTTGGACCTCTCAAACGAACAATGTTTTGAAAGCACCACAGAGTCACTTTGTTTACACTCTTCAGGAAATCTACCAATGAATGTCTTAATTATAGATCTGTATATCTGCATATTAAACTAGAACAAGATAAAGTAATTTAACATTGAAAAGTGACACATCATATTTAAATAATCAATGCATTGCTGTATCATATTTTAAGCAATGAAACCTAGTGTGTTGTTGTGAGTGTGTGTGTGTGTGTGTGTGTGTGTGTGTGTGACTAAAGCCATTTCTTTTTGTCGTGATGGAAAAGTCTGTCCCCCGGGTAGATCAGTAGACTCCTCAGAGAATCACTGGCCTTTAGGAGACACCAAAGTCTATTCACCTGCATCTTAAGCATCCACACACACACACACACACACACACAAACGACGCACACATGCATACACACTTTCTCAGTCATTAAGGCCAGTAGCAGGTTGCATTGCGTAGGCTGATAGGGAACAGATTGCTCTTTGTTATGTGCGGCTCTTTGCTGAGTTTCTGTGCTGGGACTGACATTAACTCTGGCTCTATTACCACAGCCCTGTTCTAATTAAAAATCCCCTCTGATTTTCCCAAGATTAGTGGCGGTAGAAGCAGATCTCTTTTCCTGCTACTTTATCCGTTCCTACTGAAGTCCGCAACGTGTGAGAGCACACACACGCACACACTCTTTGGCCCTTCGTTAAAAATTCTTCGCTTTAAAGGTGCAACACGTTCAACTGGTGAAACACACTCTTTGTTGAAGGCAAGCTGTTAAGCGCCTCTCAACTTGGTCCTAAGACCAGCACACAAGGCAAACAATCGTCACTGTTTTACAGCACTTGTACACAAAGATATGCTTACTCTTACAGTTAAGCTTACCCACACAAAAAAGCACTATTACCATGGTACATGTCCAGAAACCACTGTGGGTTTTTTAAATGACCGATGGTTATATCTACAGTGGAGGGTGGGCATTATACAGTAATGCTTGTAACCTAAAAATGGTTTGGGGTGAATATGATTTTTTTTCCCTTGTAAAATACATTATACTTAAGTATTATATGCTTTAAATTGATTAAAAAAAACTACAATAAAGACATTTGTAGTGATTACAAAAGGTTTCTACATCAAACAAATGCTGTTCATTTGAATTTACTACTGACCCCAAACTTTCAAATAAAGTCTCTAATTTCAAAATAAACAAATATTAGATTTATAGGTCTGCATTTTGGCTTTTTTTAGTTTTTTTGCTAATGTACCCAAAATCACAAACATGCACACTCAGGAAGTACCTTGACCAGGTAAACCTGGCAGTCGCTGACATAATCATACTCCAGGCCATCAAATGTGTGGTAATGTCGGTCGCTGTAAATGGTGCACACCGCTGGACATGGCAAATATGTGCAGTTAAAGAACCCACGATGACACACACTGGAGAGACACAGAGAGAAACCAAATGAAATGGTTACTTGGTGGTACAATGGTTTACTTAAACATAAACACATACTGTACACTATTATTCCTCAATTAGTGGCTTTTCTGATTATTTAAACTATTAAAAAAATGTTTTTCTAACTGTGTTTCATCTATATTAAAACAACTATCAAATGTGGAATAAAGATGTAATCGCGGCCTTAACAACCATAAATTGAATTTCGTTATAATGCATCATGGTGTGGATTTTTGTTATGACTTGTAATGGTAATGCCATTTATAATTTCTGGGAGAAAATAAAGTTTGGGGTTGGTAAAACTTTTTTAAATGTTTTAGAAAAAAGTCTCTTATGCTCACCAAGGCTACATTTATTAGATCAAAATACAGTAAAAATGTAATGTAAAAATTTAAATAATTCCTGTGATGCAAAGCTGAATTTTCAGCATCATTACTCCAGTCTTCAGTGTCACATGGTCTTTCAGAAATCATTCTTATATGCTGATTTAGTGCTCAAGACACATTTTAAAAGTTAAAAGGGATTTTGTCATATATATAACCTTTCAACACTTTTAATTTGGAAATAGTAATTAGACACACAGACAGGGAACAGAAAAATTCCACTAATTGAAGAACCACCCATTAACAGAAAACAGAATTATGGAAGCTAAGCACACTAAAACCAACTGACCAGCGGTAGCATGGAGTGTCCACTGTCTCTCCAGGGAGATACTCTAGACCGAGCCATGCACAAGGGCAGTTCTCCGGGTAATAGCATTCTCCATTATGAGCCACTAGCCTGCACCAATTGAAGAAGATGGTGTAACATTACATGTCAATAGATACACATACTTTTCAAAACATTTGTTCCAAATGCAAAGACGACAGTGATTACCCAGCAGGACATCCACATCCTGGTACACATGGGGTCATGGGAGGGCAGGTCAGGTTCAGCATCAGGTTTCGACAGGTCAGTTCACAGGCCACGCCCACACCTGAAGGTCCACGCCCACTCTGACCCCTGCAGCTATAGTAGACTTTTCCATTGGGACAATCTCCTCTCTCAGGCTCTGAAAAAAATGGATGGAAAGAGAATGGTTGAAAGAAAGTTTCCATTATCTTCAACAAGACACATGACTTCAGGTGTCATTTAAAACAACGCGGAAAGAGTTATGTGCCAACATTTAGCAATTTGAGTTAGGGCTGTGTTCAAATCCATAGTCATGAGTATGAGTAATAGTGATGATTGCACTACTAATAATTATCATCAGGCAACCAGTTCAATCTAAATGATTAAAATGTACTCAATTGAAAAACAAAAATGGATTCATTAATAATGCAGCCACCTGAATACTGTACTGAAGATTTTAAATCACAGCCAAATCTTGCAAATGAGCAATGTCTTAGTATTTTGTCATTTGAAAAAGTCTGGAAAAAAGTCAAAAAGACAAGAAAAAAAAGAGAAGTTTTTTTGTTGGAATTTGCTATCTCCAACCCTCAAGTCTCCCTCTTTCTTTGTGAATGTGTATCTGAGGTTCAGATCTATCCAGCATTCAGTTCGCTCAATGCGCTACCTCTGAGGAATGTACTGCTGAACCTCTAAGATGAAAACACTTTTTTCACGGGGAAAATAGAGGTGAAAGTGAATAGAGTAGATGAAGTAGAATAGATGAAATGGAGCAAAGAAAAAATAAATAAATAAAAGTTTACCTTTCTCTTCAGGCACACACTCCATACGACCATTTCTACAGAGACTAAAGAAAAATCATTATGAAATTTAAACAAACACAGCAATATCCAAAATAAATGATAAAAATATACATGTAAAATATTTTTAATTTTTTCATTAAATTAAATAAATAGCACACATTCTTATGTATGGATATCCTATGCGCACCAAGCCTGCATTTAAATGATCAAAAATACAATAAAACAGTAATATTGTGAAATATTATTATAATTAAAAATGACAAGATTGGGAAATTGTGTTTAGAATTCAAACTCAGCTCTTTGGTCCATGCAAACGTACATGTTTGACAACACAATCCTCCATGTCCACACACTCACCATGGTCCAGATGAGCTGAAGGACACTTCACCAGGCTGAAAGACTGAACCCATGAAATAACAGTGACACTGGGAGCTGAAAGGAAACAAGACCCAGTTAGAAAAGGAGAAACTTTGTCCTTTTATAAGCTAGTATTCAGAAATGACAAGGCAAGGGTGGGGTTGTTGGCGTTTGGTGTATTCAGACGTACAGCAGCACACAGCGCTGGCGAGCGTGATCGTAGAATGTTCCCTCGGTGCAGCTGCATCCTTCAGCACAGTCCCCATCACACACTTCACCACTGCTGATTGACTGACACGTCTTCCCGCATGATGATGTGCATGGGTGATACATCATCCCTCCTAAACACACCATACCTACACACACGCATTCACAAATGACCTCCTAAACATACTCATGCAATAGACAGATAGATAGGCAGACAGAGAGATGTAAGTATGAGCAACGAACCGCACTCAGAGACGTGTGCTCTGAAGTTGACGGTGACATTATGCTTGTTGCAGATGTATGCGTAGTGGGACAGAGCAATGCAGAGGCAGGTGCTGCCACATCGACAGGCCTGGTAGCGGCACTGCTGGTGGTACATGCTGGGACTAACATATGCATGGCACGCCGCAAACACTTCCTCCAAAAGCACATCACACCGGGCAGCATAAAACACTGAAACAAAAACCTTTTTAGCATCACATGAAAGTCTAGAAATCAAACATCAGATTAAATGCTATCATAGGGATAGAGGATAGAGGCCACAGAATCTAATAACAATTAAATTCAGAATATTTTAATGCTCAAAACACACAAGGAGATTGGTATGGTTTCCAGGAGCTCTCGCTACGTACATGCATACATAAAAAATTTAATAAGTAGAATTAAGAAAACAATAAAATAAATTCTAAATAAGCATCTGCACCTACATACATTTTGGTCTCTTCTGTAACCTCAGAGCAAATTTTTGGGACAACCATGGATATTGTAACTAATAAGCAAAGTGATAGCATAAGTACCATTTTGTTGGTTCATTTCACAGGGGTCTATAATAGGAATGTTAACAGGGCTTATGCACGCTGAAGACACTTTCCAGGCATTGGTGTATTCAGACGTACAGCAGCACACAGCGCTGGCGAGCGTGATCGTAGAATGTTCCCTCGGTGCAGCTGCATCCTTCAGCACAGTCCCCATCACACACTTCACCACTGCTGATTGACTGACACGTCTTCCCGCATGATGATGTGCATGGGTGATACATCATCCCTCCTAAACACACCATACCTACACACACGCATTCACAAATGACCTCCTAAACATACTCATGCAATAGACAGATAGATAGGCAGACAGAGAGATGTAGGTATGAGCAACGAACCACACTCAGAGACGTGTGCTCTGAAGTTGACGGTGACATTATGCTTGTTGCAGATGTATGCGTAGTGGGACAGAGCAATGCAGAGGCAGGTGCTGCCACATCGACAGGCCTGGTAGCGGCACTGCTGGTGGTACATGCTGGGACTAACATATGCATGGCACGCCGCAAACACTTCCTCCAAAAGCACATCACACCGGGCAGCATAAAACACTGAAACAAAAACCTTTTTAGCATCACATGAAAGTCTAGAAATCAAACATCAGATTAAATGCTATCATAGGGATAGAGGATAGAGGCCACAGAATCTAATAACAATTAAATTCTGAATATTTTAATGCTCAAAACACACAAGGAGATTGGTATGGTTTCCAGGAGCTCTCGCTACGTACATGCATACATAAAAAATTTTATAAGTAGAATTAAGAAAACAATAAAATAAATTCTAAATAAGCATCTGCACCTACATACATTTTGGTCTCTTCTGTAACCTCAGAGCAAATTTTTGGGACAACCATGGATATTGTAACTAATAAGCAAAGTGATAGCATAAGTACCATTTTGTTGGTTCATTTCACAGGGGTCGATAATAGGAATGTTAACAGGGCTTATGCACGCTGAAGACACTTTCCAGGCATTGACGTGCAGCTGTGGGGTTCCTTCAATCATTCCAGCAGGAGAACTGGAGTATAATAACACATTTACTTACACATCAATCATTTACATTTATGCATTTGTCAGACACTTTTATTAAAAAATGACTTATCACATTTAAAGGCACAATATGTAAGATTGTTTTATTAAAATATCCAAAAACTACTAGAACAGTGTTATATATTTTGCTGACTTGTGTACTTACATTATCCCAAATGTTTCGAAGAATGTTTAAATCCAGAGAAATAAGCAATTTTAACTAGTGACACGGACCGTGTCCATAGTGTCATTGTGTCGCCTGCCAATGATGTCATACACCCTTCGATTTTTTTGTTTTTTGTTTTGTAGAAAACATGGAAACACCAAAGACGCTTTAATATGTTATGCGTTTTACTAGACAGGTGAAGACCGCACAACTTTCAAATGTATCTAGTATGATAAAATAGCACTGCTTTCCCCCACATACGCACGACCTTAAGCAGCGGAAGCAGTTGACTGTGGCATAATAAAAGCTCCGCTACTTTCGAGCTGTGTGTCACGCTCGTTCAGCGGCCTCGTTTCGCTTCGAAGGCTTTCAGCCTCACCCTGCTTCATTCTACTACGTTAACAAATCATTAGCTCATCCATGAACATGATTTCTGCCTGAGTCCCGTCGGATTGCATCGGCTGTGGGGATGAAGACAACAACTCCCACGATTCCACACTCAGTCACGGCGTCATCAAACTACGCCTTTGTTTCTTTGTTTGTTTTGAATATGCGCCCTCTAGCGGCGAAAACGTACATATTGTGCCTTTAAGGTATACATTTTATGAGTTCATGCACTCCCTGGGAATCTAACCTACTCATGTCAAGCACACACTCATGTTAATAAAAGAGACTGCATAATGCAAACCAAAAAGTTATTAAAAGACATTTAAAATGTTTCCCTGAAAGAAATTCTATTGTGATTATTACTATAAATTATTACTATATAATAATAATAATAATTTAATAATATATCATTATTAATTATTACTATTATTCTATTATTTTCTATAAATGACTAAATGTAAATTCAGAGGACCAGCCTCCATTTCTCACAGGAAATCATCCCGTAGGTTTCCGTTGAGGGTCCCACATAGGCCGAGTGTGGAGCCCATCCAGGTGCTGTCTAGCTGAAGGTAGATTCGTCCACCCTGCCAATCATACTGAAACCTCAGGCCAAAGACAGACCGCAGACCCACAAACAAAGATGTCAGCCGGCGAATGTTCACCATGTCTAACAAACAAATAAGAACAAATAAAAAAATAATACAAAATACAATTTATTTAATCCAATATATGTTCAAGTAAAATAAATATTTAAATTTTTGTTATTTTTTTATTTATTGCTCTACTTATAGCTTTGTACTATTCTTAATTATATCTATATTCTTTTATTACTATTATTACTTAATCTTACTATTTATAAGCATTTTTAACTAACTAAACATATATTTATTACTGCATTTCTACGTCCAGAACTGAACCTAGAAATGTGAAATAAAAAATAATGGACTTTAGTAAAAATGAGAAAATTAGATATGATCTAGAACTGACCTTCACAGTTTTGCTTTCATCAAAATGAATAGGCTGTCTATTCATTTTGAATACATTTACTATTAAAGTGGTCCAATACTGAAGTAAAACTGAGAACCTTACCATCTGAGTAAGGCAAATTGACAGCCATACTGGCCCCAATAACAACTTCCCCCTCTCTGGTGAGAGTGACCTGCCTGCTGACATCTTCATCCACCACCAGAGCCACTGAGTGGATGCAAGAGTGCTCCTGAGACTGAGAGACGAGAGACACCATTAAACACAAACAAAACATCTTGATGCCAAACATTCCCAGAAACACACTTTTTACCTCTCCACAGGCTGTGTACTGTAGTGTCACAGTAAACTTGGCGCTGCCGCGGCTCTTCACTAGCACATACTGGCAAGAGCCCATGTGCATGAAGATCCGCCCATCAAAAGTGGTCACATGTGCGTCACCCATTACTGTGCATTCCGCTGGAGGTTAAAAAAATTATAATTTAATTCCAAAATCATTTTTGACAAAACACACTTACTTTTTAAGTAATGCAGCCCCAAAGAGAAGATGGTGATGACAAAAATATGAGATGGGTGGAAAAATTTTATTTTAATGTTTTTGCGTTTGCTCACAAAAGTTGAGTTTCCCTGAAAAATTTTGTTCAAACGTTTTGCACTCCCTTGAGAAACTTTGCATAGACATTGCGTTCCCCCAAGGAACTGTATTCACTTGCAAAACTTTTGTGTTTACCCAAGAAACTTTTGCGTTTACCTACAAAATTTTTGTATTTGCCTGAGAAACTTTTTATTGTGTTCACTCGAAAAAACTTTGCATCAGCGTGCAATACTTTTATGTTTGCATGAGAAACTTTGCATTTGCTAACAAAAGTTTTGCGTTACCCGAGAAAGTTTCTGCTTGCTCGTAAAACTTTTGCATTTGCACAAAAAAAAAAAACATTCACATGCAAAGAAAGTTTCTTTGGTGAACGCAAATGTCTCAGTAGAAAGCTACATCAAAACATTGTGGTAAAAATAACTTCTACGTATTCTGTAAAACTGGGTGCAATTATTTACCAGTGCAATTATTCTCTGTGCAGTTCCACACTCCTCCCATACAGACACTGAAAATGTAATTCACATTATATTAATTCATTAATTGAATTAAATGATTCATGAATTTAACACATGACAAGTTCATTTGTTATGGAACCGTTTTCTATAATTAGCTACTACGGTTAACTATAGGTAAAAAAAAATGAAAGAAAGTTTTGTTTGGTGTTTTAGGTGTAAAAGAGTAAAAATTTGATGTTTCTAACCAGACAGTGCAGCCCTGCTCCAATACATGACCAAGAGGATATGGTGTACCATGGTACACACAGGGGCACTGAGACACTGCTATACAGGTGCCATTCTGTAAGATCAAACCTGAGAAAAGCCAGACAGAAAGAGAGCCATGAGTAAAAGAAGTCAATAAAATCATACTAAAGTTAAAATGTTCAACAAATAACTGCAACATGCATTCTGAAGTGCCCTAAACTGCTTATTTGTGTAGTTCTTATAAAAGCAAACATTCACAAATATTAAGATTTTTATGCTCATTAAAGCATCGGATTATTGGTCTTTCTGTACCATCCGGGCAGTAGCATCCATCCAGACAGTGTAGATTGGTTCCCAAACACTCTTTCTCAAACATGCATGTAGGTGGGCAGCAGCTGATACAGTCTCTGTGGACAAAACTATCCTCACATCTGTCCGCTGAAACACAAACATATCACATCACAAGCTGCAAAGTTTATGGCATGCGTTTCCTTTATGACATGAAAGCCGACTGACCGCATGTAGGAAAACTGTCCCTCCACTCTCTGACGGGGTATCCCACATGAGAACAGGCCCTGGTGTACTCAACAAGAGTCCGACAAAATGTCTCCTCATCATCTGACCTAGAAATAATAATAATAATAAAAAAAATTAAAGGTTAATAAGTACTAAACAGCCAAAAGTACAAATGGTTCTAAGAAAGAACATAAGGGAAAAGTCAATTCTTTCAGTATGGTGATGTGAGACTGTAAGTTCAACAGGCTCTTGCAATCTGATCCTCTCACTACCTCTTCAATCAACAGTTGAGTCTGAATCTGTTCATAAACTCCAGCAGCTATTTCATCACTGTAATCAATACACACACACACACACCCCCACACACACAAACTCTTACAAATTCTAGTACAAGCACAAACACCTGCATGCACACACATACCTATAGTATAGGCTACATATATTCACAAACACTCTTTCTGCAGCTTTTGACATATGCAAGGTATTTTCATTACTATAATTAACATAATCCTGTTGGAATTGGGAGGTGTGGAATGCTGGAAATAAGCTAGGGAGGAAAAAAATATTCAAGAAGGGAGAGGGACAGAGAGAAATGCTTATTCTAATTAAAATCCTAAATGTAAGAAACAGAAATGTTCAACATTAACGTTAGCACAAAGGTTAATATTAATACTGTTAGTATGCTACAATTAGTCATCTTACTTTAAGTTCACTATGTTTATTTTCTACAGTCATGTTCCCACATTTTAAGCTAATAATTGCAAAAGATCAAATTACAGATACAGAATTCCCAATTAATTTTAGTTCTAAGACAACCGGCCTTAAAGTTCCAGTGATCCAATGATTGCTGAAATTTAAAAGAAGGTTTAAGAAGTTTTATATCAGTGTTCTTATTGTTAACTAAAAATAAACTATTAAAAATATTAATGTCGTCATTCATTTATTTGAATTATTTATTAACTAAAATAAAGATAAAATCAAATAAAATTCAAACATTACTTTAGAAAAAAATTTGATTTGGCAACTGAAATTAAATAAATTGAAATTGAAGGACTAAAATTACTAAAACTAAAATGGAAATAAAAATAAATGTAATTAATATGAAAAAACTTAATAAATTACTTATATTAAAAATTTCTAAAAATGTAATTGAAAAATTAAAATTAATATGAATAAATCATATATTATTATATAAATAATACTGAATAACTCTTTAAATAAAACTGATGAAAAAGTCTATCAAACAAGTCTAAGGTGATCTCTCACTCTGGTGAAAAATCTGGTAAGGCCTGTCAGTTTAGATAGTTTTAGAGTATTTTTTAGACCAGCAAACTGACCAGCTAAACACAAGTTTGACCATAGAACCGCTTAATCCAGCTAAGATCAGCAATCCACCTTTAGCTTGTTTTTTTCAGCAGGATTCAACTTCAGTTACACCATTTAGACAAAAGCACCACACTTGACTTACACACACATGTCCGAAACACAGCTGGCAACAAATGGATTTGGGTCAATGTTCTCATGGCAGGAGATGAAAGGAAAGAAAAGCAATGCGCTGCACTTCTCAATGGCATCCTGCTCAGATAACACACAAACAGGCAAAGTTGCTAAAACACATTTTAAGTTGAATAATCAAAAATATTTTCTGACCTTAAAAACTCTTGTTTTAAACTATCATACATTCTAAGACCCATTTAGCTTAGTTCAAACCCATTATGCAGTGCGGGAAAGCGTACATCCATATCTGACTCAGATGAGCAAGGTCCAGGGAAATCATGATCAACCTCAGGACAGGGTCTCTCTTGGGGCAAATCTACTGCCCAGCTGTTCCCAAATTCAGCAATGTCTTCAGAGACTATACCTAATAGTGCAAAATGCAAAGCATGAAGGACACCATAATACACTTTTTTCAACAGAAATGATAAAATTCTGTTTAATAATTAAATTGCCCCTAAAATGTTACAATTCATCTCTAAATAGACAACAGTGGGATTGACTGAGTATCCAACTCTGCTCAGCTTTGATATAATTGTCCTGAATTTGCTGATGGCATCCTGCTCAGATAACACACAAACAGGCAAAGTTGCTAAAACACATTTTAAGTTGAATAATCAAAAATATTTTCTGACCTTAAAAACTCTTGTTTTAAACTATCATACATTCTAAGACCCATTTAGCTTAGTTCAAACCCATTATGCAGTGCGGGAAAGCGTACATCCATATCTGACTCAGATGAGCAAGGTCCAGGGAAATCATGATCAACCTCAGGACAGGGTCTCTCTTGGGGCAAATCTACTGTCCAGCTGTTCCCAAATTCAGCAATGTCTTCAGAGACTGTACCTAATAGTGCAAAATGCAAAGCATGAAGGACACCATAATACACTTTTTCCAACAGAAATGATAAAATTCTGTTTAATAATTAAATTGCCCCTAAAATGTTACAACTCATCTCTAAATAGACAACAGTGGGATTGACTGAGTATCCAACTCTGCTCAGCTTTGATATAATTGTCCTGAATTTGCTACTGACTGAGATGATGAGTGTGTGTCTGGGCCTGTTTGTCTCACCGCGGCTGCTGCTGAGATCATCCGATCCGTCATCATTATAGTTTCCACACAGACCACAAGGCCTTCCTTTGTGTGCTTCGGTCATTTTGAGGTAGACTCCAGAGCTTCCGTCCCACGCCAGAGAGAAGCCAAACGTGCTCTTCACCAGGATATAGTCAGCCAAGCGCTCAATGAAAACATTACGCACTGTCTGTGGCAGACTCAGTCTGACAAATGCACAAGAAACAGACAAAAAACACAAGAATTTGATCAAGTTTGATATTGAAATGTCTTGCCTGGGACTTTTTTGGATATTATATCATCATCATGCTATCATGACCTCAAAGCTATTTAATACCAAAAGTGGCCAAGGTTTCGAATGTTCTCTGACAAAACAAACACATCAAACCGAAAGATTTATCTCCCCATCAGCATATTTTTTCTTTAATACCTGTAGTTTAATTCATCCAAGATTCAGCAGTCTGACAAATGCACAAGAAACAGACAAAAAACACAAGAATTTGATCAAGTTTGATATTGAAATGTGTTGCCTGGGACTTTTTTTGATATTATATCATCATCATGCTATCATGACCTCAAAGCTATTTAATACCAAAAGTGGCCAAGGTTTCGAATGTTCTCTGACAAAACATACACATCAAACCGAAAGATTTATCTCCCCATCAGCATATTTTTTCTTTAATACCTGTAGTTTAATTCATCCAAGATTCACTACTGTTCAAAAGGTTTGGGGTCGTTAAGACTTTTTAATGGTTTCGAAAAAGAGGTCTCTTATGCTTAAGGGTGCATTTATTTAGTCCAAAATACACCAAAAACAGTAATACCCTGAAATATGATAATAATTTAAAAGAACCGTTTTCTATTTTAATATATTTGAATTTATTTCTGTTATGAAAAGCTGAATTTTCAGCATCATTACTCCAGTCTTCAGTGTCACATGATCCTTCAGAACTCATTCTAATCATGCCGATTTGCTGCTCAAGAAATATTTCTTATTATCAATGTAAAAAAAAAAGGTGCTGGTTAATATTTTTGTGAAAACTGAGTTTTGAGTTTTTCATGATTCTTTAAAGAACAGGAAGACTAAAAGAACAGCATTTATTTTAGAAATCATTTGTAACATTATATAAATGTCTTTACTATCACTTTTGAGTAATTTAATGCATCCTTGCTAAATAAATGTCCAAACTCACCTGTGTCCTCCCTTTAGCACCTGATAACCACTAATATAGATTTCCTCTTCATTTGGGAAGAACAGACTCAGACCACGTGGACATGAATACACTGAAGCTCTACATGAACGACTGTTATGAACCTGCCAAAGAGAAATCAAGTAGCAATGCAGGTATCAAAAGAAAAACATATATAGCAAACAGACCTGGCGCAGCTGTAACTTACCCACACTGTATACTGGGGCTCTGTGGAATGGCAGTCTTTGGCCAGGATAAACGAACAGGTTCCAGGGAAGTAGTAATACATTCCATCAAAGGTCTCAAAATGATGCTGACCCCATGAACGGCAAATCCCATCCCTGTCCTGACCATGGTTGGGAACTGACACAAAAAAGACAAAAATCTCCTATACAAAAAAACTATTGTGGTTGGTAGGTCCTTGTAATACTATAGAATTATGGAACTGAATGGTTACAAATATGTGCACCGTTTTGGAGAAGACTCGTTTACTCATCATCTGTTTGATCAGAAATACAGTATAAATAGTAATACTGTGAAATGTATTATTCTATGAAATTTGAAGATATTTTCAAATTTAATTTATTCTGTGATGACAAAGCTGAATTTTTAGAAGCCATAACTCCAGTCTTCAGTGTCACATGATCCTTTAGAAATCATTCTAATATGCTGATTTTGCTGGTCAAGAAACATTTCTGATTATTATCAATGTTGAAAAAAGTTGTGCTTAATATTTTCATGTAAACAAATATTTTTTTAATTCAATATTTGTGCCCCATGTAATCTATGCCCCGTTGGGCATGTAATCAGTATAGCTTATATAAATACTGTATACGTAGTAACCTGTTATTCTGTTGGTCATACCAGCTGCCTGGCTTTATAGTGAGTGGTTAATTAAACACACATACAGAGCTCTTTGTGACCAGCCATCTATTCCCAGAACATCTGTAATCCAATGCTACCAAATGCAGTAAGACATAGTCACGTAGATTAACTGGAACCAGTGAGTAATGCCACTTGAATTCTAGTACAGTAATTAAATTCAGGGTTCCTTCGTCCACATTTAATAGTCAGCACTGGGTGGCAGATGATAATATCAGACCGTACCTTACTATAATTACATGGAGACAAGTTTCATTTTGAATTTAATATAACTTCAGTGTGTGCTTCTTACTGATTTGACAGCGATCCCCGAGACCCTGGAACTGAGCACAATCACAGCGTCCTTCCTCCTGGCACCAGCCACCATTAAGACACCCACAATATTCTACAACACAAACAAACACAGAAAGGTACATTGCACAACGCATTAATATGAAACTTAAAATTATGGGCCAAGCACTGAAGGTGAATAGCTCCAGTGTTTTTGTTGTGACAGATTTTAGATTTTTCTTTGCTTGGCAGTCTAAAGCAACCTAAAGGACCGTATAGTTGGGTTTGAATAGTTCACTGTTCAACTTTGGGGTCTCCTACTCAAAGCTTCCAAAGCCTCCAACTGTTTGAACTGAACAATTTGAATTTGAACCCTTTGGCTTAGAAAATGTTTCTGGCTACTTTTTATTTCTTTGCGCATGTAGAGTTCAGTAAAATCATTAATTTAAATGTCTAACCATTAAATTGACCACTGTTTTTTGGATACTCCCAATGTTATTTTAGCATCATTGAGATACTATTATAGTTTATACTATTATAGCCAATTATGCAGTTTAAAATGAGGAGGCAGTTTATTCCAATTTATTCCAAGATAATAATTAAAGGCAGTAACAATTTGAACAATATTTTGGACAAACACTTTACAATAATATTTCATTAGTTAACATTAGCCTAGTTTACATGAACTAAGAACGATCAATACTTTTACAGCATTTATTAATCTTAGTTAGATGCTATTTACACTAAGTGAAAATAGCTATAGATTCTATTTACACTATGTAATGTTAAGTTTTTTCAATATTTTCTTTCAGCGTTTTTTATTTTTATTTAAACATTTATTTCAACTAACATTTTTTAATGGTTTCAGTTAACTATATTAACCCCGCATAATCCTTTATCCTTTAAATTTGATTCCTTATTGGTAAAAATGAATCTAAAAACATTTGGCCTTAGATGACCAAATCACACAAAGCTTAGTTCACAATGAAGCTGACAGTGGCGTAACTTCACAAAACATTAGTTTATTGATATATAACTTCATAACTGATGTTTCTAGCATGCAAACTCAAGTAAGACTGTACATATCTCTGCAAATCTTATGTGTTTTGCACAACGCATTAATATGAAACTTAAAATTATGGGCCAAGCACTGAAGGTGAATAGCTCCAGTGTTTTTGTTGTGACAGATTTTTTATTTTTCTTTGCTTGGCAGTCTAAAGCAACCTAAAGGACCGTATAGTTGGGTTTGAATAGTTCACTGTTCAACTTTGGGGTCTCCTACTCAAAGCTTCCAAAGCCTCCAACTGTTTGAATTGAACAATTTGAATTTGAACCCTTTGGCTTAGAAACTGTTTCTGGCTACTTTTTATTTCTTTGCGCATGTAGAGTTCATTAATTTAAATGTCTAACCATTAAATTGACCACTGCTTTTTGGATACTCCCAATGTTATTTTAGCATCATTGAGATACTATTATAGTTTATACTATTATAGCCAATTGTGCAGTTTAAAATGAGGAGGCAGTTTATTCCAATTTATTCCAAGATAATAATTAAAGGCAGTAACAATTTGAACAATATTTTGGAAACACTTTACAATAATATTTCATTAGTTAACATTAGCCTAGTTTACATGAACTAAGAACGATCAATACTTTTACAGCATTTACTAATCTTAGTTAGATGCTATTTACACTAAGTGAAAATAGCTATAGATTCTATTTACACTATGTAATGTAAAGTTTTTTCAATATTTTCTTTCAGCGTTTTTTATTTTTATTTAAACATTTATTTCAACTAACATTTTTTAATGGTTTCAGTTAACTATATTAACCCCGCATAATCCTTTATCGTTTAAATTTGATTCCTTATTGGTAAAAATGAATCTAAAAACATTTGGCCTTAGATGACCAAATCACACAAAGCTTAGTTCACAATGAAGCTGACAGTGGCGTAACTTCACAAAACATTCGTTTATTGAAATATAACTTCATAACTGATGTTTCTAGCATGCAAACTCAAGTAAGACTGTACATATCTCTGCAAATCTTATGTGTTCGTGTGTGCACACAGTATATAAAATACCTGTTGATGCATCTCTCGCTGTATAATTATGAAGAACTCTTCGTGGTATAGCTGAATCAGACAGCACTGTGCTAAGGGTCTGCAGAGGAAAAAAACAGTACTAAGAATTTGCCAAGTGCGTGGGTCTATTGGCTTATAGTGGCAACAATACCATGTCTAGCCACTAAGCCATGTTGGTGAACCTGTCTTGGCATTCCTTCACATGGTTTTGCCACTGCAGACATTTGGGAGTGGAGCTTTCAGTGGCTGTAGCATTTGTGTAAACTCCACAAAGACAGCTTTGTCAGCACTGAGAGTGTATCTCAGTATTTGTGAGTGTGTGTGTGTGTGTGTGTGGTTGTCGCTTTCTCTTAGGTATACTCACCTCTTCACGGAAGAGATCCCGTTTCTGCCGCAGTGCATTAACCCTCCTTTTAAAAGTGGCACAAAGAGAGCAGTATTAAAAGTCCGGCGACTGTGAGACTAAAGGTTCAGAAACACTTAAGATGCCATACAGTCAAAGTCACGCTGATGGACTGCATGATTCTCAAGGAACTGGTTTAATGGTTACTTCAAAACATTAGACCAAACACTTAACATCTTATCAGTGATTGCATGTAGAACTTGACACTGTCTCTCTGCTCAAAACCTCCTTGTTATAGCGGATGTTTGATAGGGTTCACCAGTTTTTAAAGGTATAATCAAACTGCAATCTATGCTCAACATGTTTAAATATCTAAAAACATTATGATCATACACCTAGCCATCAGCATCACAAAGTCAACAGCATCAGAACAAGAAGTTGGACTCAACCACATACCTGGGTAGTTTATTTTCTGAGTTTGATTCCTGGCAAATAAATCCTGTCAAAAGCAAAATTATATAAACAAAACTCATGCATATTTATAAACGTATCTTTTAGTCTGTAAATACAGCATAGGTCCAAAACAAAACTTTTTAGTAAATTATTGTATAAGTACATAAAAGTCTATTATGCTTAGTACACTCAAAAAGTTTGGAATGCTTATTTTTTTTAAGGTTTTCACAGCTTAAGATAGATTTACATAATTCATTAATTCAGAGATTACATAAATTACATCCAATATAGCAAACAACACTCTAAAAAAAAAAGGTACAAAAGCTGTCACTGGGGCGGTATCTCTTTAGAAGGTACACATTTGTACCTAAAAAGTCCATATTGGTACCTTAAAGGAACATATTAGTACCTAAAGTGTACATATTAGTATCTAAAAGGTACAAAAGTGCACCTTTTGAAAAGGTACCGCCACAGTGACAGCTTTTGTACCTTTTCATCTGAGAGTGTAAAACCCCTAAAGAATTGTACCATTGTAAACTTTTTTTGTTGTTGTCAAAATACCATTTGTAAATTAATATGGGATCTCTACGTTTTTTAAATGTTTTTGTTATTTTGTTGAATGTATTATGACTAAAACAATATTACCACAATTTCACTGTAGTAGGAATAAAAAAATAAGGTATTTCAGGAAAACTATGGTACCATAGTAGATTTTATAAAGGCAATGTGTACATTATTAATTCATAAAAATCTAAAATTCTAAATGATTCAAAATTTAAATTAGACTTACCTTGAAGCACAAATAGCTTGAAAATGAAAAGTGTACAGAGTGAAAACAGTTGAATGTCCCGCTGTTCGTTCATCTCAGTCGACGGGCGTCCTTCAACGATCAAGAAATTACGACTTTCATCATTTTAGGAGGATCGATTGAAATTCTCCTTCTGAAAAGGCTTCTCATAGGATTAATCAAGTTAAAATATCTGAGGCACGATTAACAAACTAAAGTGATTTGTCCCAGACAGAGTAGTGAAGGATAAACGTCCATCTTCTGTACAGTCAGAGGAGGAGGATGTACCTGCGTGCTCCTGCAGCATCAGGAGGACGGAGCGCACCTGCGCGCAGGTAACAGGTAACTCATCATCTACCTGATGTACGGAACGACATACAGATCAGATGATATCCCAGTCACAGGAGAAGTACTCTGAACACAAGTTTAATTTCACTCCACAATGGTTTAGACAGTTTACAGTACAGTCAAAGGATATGATTATTTATATTGTTCATATTTTAATCTAGTATTGTGGTATCGTCTTGCTCAGTGTCACAATGGTGATAAATTACCGGTTGCAAATATCACACCTACAAATGTTAGCTAAAGATGAAAGCACTGCGCTAACGTTAAGTTACCTTTCAAAGTCATTCAGTGACTTTCAAGGGGGGAGGAGGGGGTTTGGGGTTTCAGTCTCGAGACTTGTCCAACCGTAGTGCCCGTCTTTTGATAAACAAACACTTTTTTGTGATATACTTGCGATACAGAAATACGCTACATAAATACTGATAGCAAAGTTGTTTACATTTCGTCTGTTACAGATCCTCACTGAAAGAAAGAAAGCGCTCGAGCAGCCTGCTGTTGCTATGGTTTTGTTCGCGAGCGTCTATTTACTGCGCTGAACGTAATCTTTGAACGTAAAGTTTTGTGGTTATTAAAATTATATTACAAATTGTTTAATCATTTTCAAAGGTTCGACATTTTAAGGACATTTCTGTCATTGTAACTTTACCCATCTCGCCTATTTAAGAGTTTCAACTATTTAAAGCGGTCATATGATGCGATTTCAATTCTTCCTTTCTCTTTGGAGTGTAACAAGCTCTTGGTGCATAAAGAAGATCTGTAAAGTTGCAAAGACTAAAGTCTCAAATCCAAAGAGATATTCTTTATAAAAGTTAAGAGTCTGCCACGCCTACCTAAAACGGCTCGTTCTAACACGCCCCCACATATCTACGTCACTATGTGGAAATATTAGCATAATGCCGCCCAAATGTGCACCAAAGAAAGAAGGCCTGGTTTCAGGAACAGCAGTCGTCCTGTTGAAGCAGCATGTCAGGGAGATGCTGTGTTTCAGTGCGAAAGCAAAAGCACTTTATTTGGCCTTCCGGAAGTAGATGCATTTAGGAATCATTGGTTAAGATTTATTTACAACAGAACAGCACAACCCAGATGTTCGAATTTGTGCAACGCATTTTATGGAAGACAGTTTTTTGAACCTAGAAGAGTACAAGGCTGGCTGTGCACAAAGGCTATTTAAAAAAAAAAATGTGGCCAATCACAATGCACTGGGCCAGCTGGCCAATCAGAGCAGACTGCGCTTGTCAAAGGAGGGGGCTTTGCAGAAAACGAAGCGTTTGAGAGAGGCGGGGCATAGAGGACCTACAATAATGTACAGTATTTGAAAAATAATGTGTTTTTTGAACATTAAAGCATGTCAACATATTCTGTTACACCAAATACACAAAATAATGATCTTTAAAATGCATCATATGACTTTTTTTGGATAGGCTAACATTATACTGCTCACTGTGAACTCATTTATTCCAGACCAAATATATTTCCTGCTGTTGTTAAAAAAATAAACATCCACTAAACTGGACTTAAACAAGCAGGTCAACTGTGTGACTTTCTGTATATTGTAATACAGATTCATCAATCTTTCAGAAAACTTTCTCTGCATTATATGAATCCTGTGATAAATGGGTAGGCCGACTGAAGTAAAAATAAGTTATTTAGCTATGGCTACAGATTTGTCAAAATCTGTTTACTTCCTTAAGCAGTGTGACATGCTTAAGTACATACTTAATTAGGAAATTATGCTATTTAAAAAATATTTGTATTTTTTTTTTATTATAAATGTTTGTTAACATTAATATGTAGGCTAGTTTTATGATCTCATATATAATTAAGAGGCTACATGGATTATTTGTACTAAAAGGATTTATTATGTGAATTTAACAAAAGCAAAATGTGATTAAAATAGTACCCAGTTACAAAATATAGAAATATACACTTTACAGGCCTATAAATATACATAAACTTGACGCAAAATCCTGATGTTGTTGCCTAAGAAGATAATGCCCGTTATTTTTCAACTGTCCGGTTATAGACATATATATATAGACATATATAAGCAGTGTTGAGGGTAACGCATTACAGGTAACGCGAGTTACGTAATCAGATTACTTTTTTCAAGTAACTAGTAAAGTAACACATTACTTTTTAATTTACAGAATATCTGAGTTACTTTTTCAAATAAGTAACGCAAGTTACTTTTTTTTCCAATTTATTGACTGACAGCTCTCCCGTCCCCATGTTGAGAAATCAGATGTTACTGTAGTTCTAAAATAAATATGAATGTGCATTAATTCATCTCCCTCACACAAAAAAGCAGATTCAGTATTCCTCAAAATGAATAAAAATAACGCAACTCAGAATATGACGCAAACCTGCAATAATTAAATGTTAAACAACACAAATATGCTTTATGTATTTAATCCCATTCTATTAACAATGTCTTTGCTTCTGACCTTTGATGATCCAGTTCAACCGTACTAATAAGCACAAATTACTCTAGACAAACATTTGTGTCTTTTTTTATTGCTGAAGTGTGTTGAAATTTCTTCTTCTGCATTCTACTGTACGGACGTAAATGTACTTTCCCTTCAGCCTGAGGCTTATTCATTTCACTTTTGGTGTGAAAAGGCTTTTATATTTGCCAAAAATAGAACTTTTTTATTTTAAAAACAAACAAGCAAGCCCTGTCCAGATTTAAAAAGTAGCGCAAAAGTAACGTAACGCATTACTTTCCATAAAAGTAACTAAGTAACGTAATTACTTACTTTTTTTATGGAGTAACGCAATTTTGTAATGCATTACTTTTAAAAGTAACTTTCCCCAACACTGTATATAAGACAAATTATTCACTAGATACATTTTCCCTCCAACCCAAACCCGAACACAAACACACCCCTCAAAGCACCGCTTTGGCGCGCATAGGCCATTCGAATAATGACATCATCGAGGCGCGCCGGCGTCCATTAATGTTTGCGTGCGGGGAATAATGGCGATGTGCACAATATTACGATGTGCTTCTGTTAGTTTGACCTCCTCGCTGCCTCGACTGTCAAACAGAAACGCTCTGATTCCAGCTAGACTGCCGGCGAGGACATGTTATATAAGAGCCCTGAGCACCACCACTCGATTTTGCGCAGGTATTCAAACTTGTGAATGTTTACAGGCGACTCGCGTGAAAGTTTAGCTCTGTCTATCTGTGCACTGATGTTGCAGTCATTTTCAAATGCTATGGTAGTGATAAACTCGGAATGAACTATATTACATGCACAACCTTTTCTCTCATTCTGCAGCACTGAAGTTCACAGACAAACACGAGTGGGTTCGCGTGGACAGTGGTGTGGCAGCAGTGGGCATCAGTAATTTTGCACAGGTTAGACTGGTTATTATTCAAGCAAAATTTTTATAGGAAGAGGTGTTTTTTGGACTATATTAGATGTGTTGTCATGGGTTTATAATGTTTTCAGGAGGCACTGGGGGACGTGGTCTACTGTGGGCTCCCTGAAGTTGGTACAAAGTTATCACAGTCTGGTAACTACTCTTAATAACTCTGGAGAATACTGCTTTAGAAAAACTTGTTCTGTAAAGAGCACATTCACAGTAGGATACAGCTATTTATAACAAAATACAGTTATTTGTTAGTAGTAAATCAAGCAAATATTATGATCGGTTATTATTTAGTTTGCTTATTTATTGGCATCTGTACCGTAGATGAATTTGGTGCTCTGGAGAGTGTTAAAGCAGCGAGTGAGTTGTACTCTCCTCTGACGGGGGAGGTGACAGATGTCAATGACACCTTGGCAGACAACCCAGGACTGGTCAACAAATCTTGCTATAAAGACGGTGAGACATTACTTCAAACTCTTTTGGACTCAAACTGGCCTGGAATAGTTCACCCAAAAATGAAGATCATCCCACCCTCAAGCCATCCAAGATTTAGATGAGGTCTTCATCGGAATAGATTTGGAGAAATGTAGTATTACATCACTTGCTCACTAATGGATGCTCTGCAGTGAATGGGTGCCGTCAGAATGAGAGTATAAACGGCTGATAAAAACATCACAATAATCCACACTTCTCCAGTCCATCAGTCTTGTGAAGCAAAAAGCTGCATATTTGTAAGAAACAAATCTATCATTAAGATATTATCATTTTAAATCAAAAATAGGAGTCCATAATTATATTATAACGCTCCTGGAGGGAAAACGTCCATCACCTGTTGTCCTCTCGCATCAAAATCCAATGGTGCATGTTTCTCTTCTGATTTAATTTTTTGGGTCTTGATGGATTTGTTTCTTATAAACATGAAGCTTGATTCTAGCCTTCCGATATGAATTGATAGACTGGAGTCATGTGGATTACTTGTGAATTATTTTGTTGTTTTAATTAGCTGTTTGGACTTTCATTCTGATGGCACCCATTCACTGCAGAGGACCCATTGGTGATCAAGTAATGTAATGCTAAATTTCTCAAAATCTGTTCAGATGAAGAAGAAAAAAACTCATCTACATCTTGTATGGCCTGAGGGTGAGTACATTTAAGTCTTGTGATCAGATTTAAGAAATGGTTATTTTAAAAAAATGTGTGTTTTGTTCCCAGGCTGGCTGATGAAGATGACCGTATCTGTTCCTGAGGAATTGGATGGACTGATGGATGAAGCTGCTTATGAGAGATACATTAAATCTATAGAGGACTAGAGTGTGCTGCTGGCATGTTGCATATAGGGGAGAATTTAAAAACAATCAATTTAGGAATGTTTATAGTAGTTGATTTAGTTTAGATGTTCTCCTAAATTACATTTTCCAATCCACCCATACCCAGCCACTGGAGGGGACCACATGGACACAACATTATGCACTTCGCTTGAAAAACAACAAGCATACCTGGTTGGATTGAGCCAGTTACTGTATGTAGCCACAGAGACACAGCCTATGTAACAGTTTCATCTCTTTTGTAGATGTTACACTGTTCCTGAAAAAGTTTGTCATTGCTCTGAATATGCTACAAATAAAATGTGTAAGTACGAATGACACCCAATGTCCAGTCTGAGGACAGCTATGAAACCTGGTGAAATGTGTTAGTTTTGAGGACTCATAACTGAGTTAAAGTGATTAACATTAATTAACAACATTAAACAACTATTTAAAACACTTATCTGCTTTAAATTGTTTTATTGCATTAGACATCTTGCTTTTTGATGCCAAATGTGCCTCTAATTTACTAAATGAACCCAATGTCTGCAAATGAATTATTTTAAGTTATTTTATAAAGTAACTTTAAAGTAAACAAAACTTGTCATAAATGTCAAATTTCCAACACCATGATGGATGTGTTTGCTTGTACAAGAGAAGAAATTTACTCGTGCTGCATTTATAGTCGACATGGAAAAACTGACCATACTTGCTTTCAAACAGCTGCTTAAAAGTCAAAATAGTGTCCAAAGTCTGTTATTCTGATCTCTAGATGTAATCAAATAAGATTTTTGACTCGTATCTACCAGGTAAAAACCTTAAGTCTGATAACTTTGAAAAGTAATGAGACATTCTATAAACACATAAGCAATAATAAAAGTCCATCTAATTACAAAATACTGTCTTATACAAGTTATTTGTATTACATCTTTTTTGACCAAAGTCTGTAAAATGTTTGTTAAAGTTAAAGG